CCAATCTTGTACAAAGTGGACACCAAGTACCATGCTAGGTTTTTCAATGTTTCACTATGTCTCACAAGGGCCATGCATGACAACGGATAGCGACCCATGAATGATGTTGCATTTCGCACGCCTTCCACGCTCCTGCTGCCACTAGTTTTCAGGAGCTTGCTGAACCGGTGTGCGTCTCCTCCCTCTGCTGAGGGAGCACCTCCGCGTGTGTTTGCATACAATGTCCTACACTGAGATTGTCAACTGCTGGCCACAGTCGCTTCAGTTAGTGCAACTGTGTGGAATAGTCGCACCCTGATGAAGGCTGTTTTCCAAGGTCTGAACAGAATTGCAACCAAAAGTGACCAGGACACTTACAGTCGGTAAGCGCAAGTATATACAGTCAACCACCCGAAACTGGCCAGTGTGCTTACAACTCAAACCTTGCAGGTGCAGTTTTGTCCTTTGGCACTCCTTGAGCATACTTGGAGTGGCCTGCATGGCCTGTCGCACCGCAATGCCTTCTGCGGCAAAAGTGAGAACAGCAGATCACTGACAAATTTCGTGAATTCAAGGCCCGAGTAGACAGTCGAACACTCTTTTATGTTTCACCTGTTTCACCGATGAGTACAGTGGGAAACTCTGCTAGTTTGTTTTGGGGTGGCGTGTTGTGGTTTGGTTTGGGGGGTTTTGTTGTTGGTTTTGTTGTGTTTGTTTTTGGGTTGGGTTTCTGGTTCTTCCCTCACAAACATGCAGAGTCTCCATCCTTCTTTTGATGACCTGTGCACACCGCGCACATGGCGTCCGAACTCGTGCAAAAAAAAAATGTGGATGGCCCGATGGCGGTCTTTGTTTGGGTGTGCTCCGGATGCCTGCGCGACTCCGGCTTGAATTGTCCTCCCTAACAGCCAGCAAGTGGGGACGCAAGGATACTGCCAGAAAAGGCAGGTGAGTCAGAAACATCCACTTCAGTCAGTAGTGCCACCAGCGAGTCTGCAGCAGATGCCGCTGCTGAACGGTCGCAGGCTGGACTCACCACGCCGGACGTGGTAGACTGACAGTCAAATGGAAGACGCTGAAAGCGAAGCAGGGAAAGAGCACGCGGGTGGTCGCCTCAGGGACTGTCCTGCAGAGCCCACCTCGGATCTCGATCCCGCAATGTAGAGACAACAGATGGAAACGGAGGGCTTCCCAAGATGAGGCAAGCACTGCAATCCCACCGATACGTCTTGACCAAAGTGATGACGACTCCTCTCCGGAGGAATCGGAGGCCCCTATCAAACTTTTTTTTGCACGGGTGGAGACGCCATGTGTGCAGAGGTTGCACTGCAGTATGCAATTGCATTCCCAAGGGACTCCTATCAATCACAGGCTGCACTGCCGAATCCGGTTACCGAAAGCTTGGAGCAATCGGGAACATTTCGCGGTGGTTTTCCCAGGTGCCTGTTCAATGCTGCAGAGAAAAGATCCGACTTCGCATCGCAAGAAAAAGGCCTGCACGGTTGACTGCGCAACGACGTAAGCATTGCTTTCGATGCTCTCCAAGTGCAATAGCTTGCACAGCGTTCTGATCTCAGGACGCTTTGCTGCAGTGAGGAAAGATGACCACTCCTCCCTGGGCGGGGGGGAGGGCAACGAACACACATACACTACTTGCGTCGGTGGCTCCCGAACAGCTTGGCCAAGGGAAGACACAGAAAGGCAAGTGGAAGCCATCTGGCTTGCGCTCGGTGTGTAGGTGATGAATGACTGTACCATGCAGTGCCCCACTACTACAGTGAAACAAGGTGAAACGTCGTTACCCTACGTCTTAGTGACCAAAGTAAAATCTGTACACTTTGTATTCACCCAGGACCGACACTGAGGTGCCGGCCTGGGAGCTGCCTATCTTTTTTGTACAATGTGCTACGGAGGCAGCAAAAGAGCATGCCGACAGGACCGACACTGAGGTGCCAGCCTGCGGCGGGCTAGCTGGCGTAGTGTTAGTGCTGGTCCCTGCGCAGCTCATCATCAAAGTCAGCGGAATTGAAGGCCTGACTGTCTCTTCTATCTGGCGGAAGGAGGTTGCGCCACTCCGGCATGTGAAACTTGTCACACAAGTCGAAAGTGTCACATTCGGCATAGGGTCCTCTCCATGTGGCTTTCTCTTCCATTTTAATGAGCTGAATGAGTTGTCCACACTCGAAGAATGCTCGGTGAGCAATATATAGCAGAGCCGGTGGGGTATGCACTTCTTGAAGCGAGGAGCAAAGCAAAAAGGCTTCTTTGCCAATGCGTCTTAGCTTCCGTGGGAACCATACCTGTACCAGGTTCGCACAGTGCGAGAAGGTAGAACCCCATATGGCAGTGACATTGGTACCAGTTAAGTCAACTACTCGCAGCCGCTTGCAGTTTTCGCGCGCAATAGGTCCAACGAAGTTGAAATCTGCTGGTAGTTGCTCAATTCCTGACCCACAGAAACTTCCCTCTGGTATGTATCGCGCAACTCCCGAGGCATAAGCCTCTGTTTGCTCGAAGGTGACCTGCGAGAGCGCGAGGCAACTCTCAAAGGCGTATGGAGAGATTTGGGCTTGTGGAGCCAGTAGATTGATCGCGTTCTCAGTGGTTCCTATTTGAGACAAGGAGCAACACTCTGCAAATGCTCTACGCCCAAATCGCTTGCACCCAGGGACTAGAATTTTCATGAGCGCATAGCACCCCTGAAAGGCACCATCTTGGAGACAAACGACAGTGGAGGGCAGCCTGACAATTTGTAGCTGTTGACAGCTTTGCCAGGCTGAGGCCTGAGGCTCCTATGGTTTGGATGCCTGTTTCAACTAGTACATGTCTCAAATCTGGAACATAAGAGAAGGCATTGGGCAAAACAAAGTCAGTGTCTTCTGCCGGAACGCAAATGGCCTTGGCTCTTTGCCGCAACTGTCCTTTGTGCTCTGCTGTGACGAAGCACTGTCGAACAACTAGACTAAAGCGATTGCATTCTTGCAGAGTGTTCCAGATGGGGTCGCCAAGAATTGTTTGGGTACTCAAGCCAACAAGCTCCAGCTCACGTCCGAAAGCGCTAATCATGCTAGTTGTTGACAGGCACTCAAGCACGGCATTCTCGAACTCGCAAAGTCGGCAAAATTCCTGTAGCTCAATTGGCAGTTGAATTTCCTCGCCAGCTAAGGTAACCAGCGTGAGCTGGTAAGTGGCCGACTGCTTTGCTCTGGCCGGTGTGCTGGCTTGCGAGGAGTCTCCTATAGCCATCATGACGCGTCGCAAGCGAATCTGGACTTGCCCGTGCAGCTTGAGCCAGAGCACCTCGCTTTGTTCTCATAGGTAACAGTCTATCCAAAGGCTTTTTTAACTTGTTTGACTTTTTTCCAGGGACAGTGACTGAGGTGACCGCCCTAGATTGTCCTGTGTTGCCTTGCGCAGGTCACGTGTGAAAGCTTGGCGGTACTGTCGTGTAAGTCAGATCCCCTTGTTCCAAGCTCTGGTTGGCTTCTCCATGCGTCACAAAAATAAATCTTGCGCCGTGCTTCGATCTGGTATTCTTTTGCCTTATGTGCGGCATCGGCTTCTTGCCCTGGCGGGTAGCGACTAGTGCTTCCTACGCTAAAGCGAGCCCCCCCCTTACCAGCGTAGTGGAGGAGTCGCCAGGCATTGGGTTGAGATGTGTGTTTCTTTTTGAACTGTACTTGGCTTCCTTGAGTTTCAGGTTGCACTGTTTTTGAGACCCGCCGCCATTTAGAGAAGCCGAGAATCCACCCGAGCGAGAGCCGAGACAAGGCTGGAACCATGAGGATTGTGATGCGAGGCTTTTTGTGTGATGTCTTGTTTTGCCAGTTTGACGAGTTTGTCTTGCTTTGTGGAAAGCAAGAGGAAGCAAGAGAAAGCAAAGAGAAAGGAAGAAAATAAAGATCAGATTGGCAGGCCAAATCAGACCAGTGCAGTGTGGCAAGAGGGTTGTAGATTCTAGAGCATGGATTTGCTGTGGCATGGCAAGTTCACTTGATGCATGACGATTGCAACTTCGTTCATCGCAGGTTCAGCTTTCAGAGAGTTTCTTGTGATTTCACTTGCAGTTGCTTACAGCTTCGTTCATCGCAGGTTCAGCTTTCAGCGAGTTTCTTGTGAGTTCACTTGTGATTGTTTGCAACTTTGTTTATTGCAGGGTTGCTTCTAGAAAATGTCTTGTGATATCATCTTTGCAGTTGAGTGCAGCTTTGTGTACTTGTCAGGTCTTGAGGATAGAGGTTTGCACGGCATAGTAACTGTAGATAACCTTTTTGCATCCTGGGCTGACAGGTAAGTTTGTCCTTGAAAGCTTTTCTTTTGAGGATCCCGATGGTGAGACCAGAAGGCCATGCAGAAGGGATCTGACCCTGAGATCTCATGGCTGGCCTCTGAGGGATCCTTCTTTTGCGTGTTGGTTGAGGGTTGAAGTTGACTCTTTGTTGGATTTGGAGTTTTGCTTGGGATGGACTCGAGTTTACCTCTGGATTGAGAACAGTGAGATCATCTTTGAAAACAAAAGTATGGATCTTAGTTGATGTCTGATCCTTTGCTGCTCAAAGAAAACGAATAGAAGAAGAGAAGAAGACAGAAGAAGAGAGGAGGTAGCACTATGCAACCGAAGAAGGGGTGTGAAACATAGCGTACAGCGCACGTGTACAGTGTATGGCTCACCTAGTGCTTGCTTCTTTAGGGTATTTTCGTTCTCAAAGTGCTTGGGGTTGGAGCTGAGTGGAGATCTTTGTCCTTTTTGTGTTTGACCTTCGACCACCTGAGCAGGAGGATGTTTGAAGTGGCAACTTGTGGCTAAGAATAGGTTAGAGAACCTTTTGGTAGAGCACGAGGTCTTTGGAGAGTGTTTGGGATAGTTCTGTGTAGTTTTGTGTAGCTTTGAGATGACTATGAACAGTATTGTACTCTTTTGAGAAGAGTGGACAAGCTTAAGAGAAACTTTGAGAACGTTTGAGACAGTCTACACCGTCTGTGACTTTGGCTCAAGGATTGGGATCGAAAAGGCGAGCTTGCGCTGCCGTGTTTTCACAGCTTAACGACTATTGGCAAACATGTTTGGAGACCTTCTGTTTATGCATACTCTAGAACTGCTTTGGTGCGTTCTCGTAAGCTGAAATCTATGTTCTCGGAGGTCAAAGTGATCAACGATAGGACATTTCTTGGCAGTGATTTTCGGCTCAAAATTTGGTTGGAAACCAATTTCGCTGGCATGGGGATGGTCATGGGAACGATTCGGGAAGAGACGCCTCAATTCAAGAACCATGGGGCAGTGGCTGGCCTGCAGTGCCGTGAGTATGCTCCATATTGGGTGGCAAAGATATCCTCCGATGCCTACCCGGAGCTCAAAACAGAAAATGAGTTCATGAATACAGCATTCCGAAGTTTGGCCAAGTACATTGGAGTCTTTTCAACTCCCCAAAATGAATCGAGAAAGCAAGGAAGTCAAGAAACCATTGCTATGACAGCCCCAGTGGTGATGACTTCCAGCGAAAAGATTGCAATGACTGCACCAGTGGTCATGGAGGAGTCCAAAACGATGAGTTTCATCTTGCCCTCGAAGTACATCGAAGCATCTGAAGAGCCACCAAAGCCACTGGATGCTCGAGTCAGGCTTGAAAAGATCCCAGGGCGGGTCGCTTTGGTGAGCACTTTCTCGGGGTTTTCAAGCCCTGAAAAGGCAAGGCCTCACATGAAGGAATGTGTTGCCAGGATTCGAGAAGCGTCAGCCGTGGAATTTGTCATCGATGAGATGACCAAAGAACCCAAATGGGAATTTTTCGGGTACAACCCCCCCTTCACTTTGCCATGGTGTCGAACCAATGAGGTGGCTATATATTTGAAGGAAATTCCGCCAGCATTGATCCTGGCCAATTGACAAGACTAATCCTGACTCATTGAAACTTTGTACAGGCCGGAGTAGGAGAAAAACCGTTGATTTTTGCAAGTTGTTTTTTGTCATGAATTGATTGCAATTTCAACTATTATGGTGTTTGTCGCAGATCTTTCATTCATCCAGCTGGCCGCAACACTGCGGATAGTTTAGCCAAGAAGTTGAACGCTTGCTGTAGATTCATTCAATGAGTTGCTCTGTACCCATGTTGTGGAGTGTCCATTTCTCTCCGAACATCACATTTTCACAACTTTCATTGATGCTCTCACGAACAACTTTCTTATCCACTGTTGTTTTCTCATGTCCATACCGGTCTCTCCGACAGCGCGCTCTTCATGGACTCAAAGAACCTCAAGGCAAAACTCCTGTTCTTGTTCTGTTGTTCGGTCTCGTTGTACATTGCGCAGCTACGCTTTGAAGGTACGCCACGTACTTCAAGAAGGAAATTTGCAAAGTGATGGAGTCCCTGCAGAACAAGAGATCTGCACGCCGAATGCACATGTGGCACATGTGGTCAAATGTAAACTAATTCTTTGGCTGACATTGATTGCAACATATGCAAATGTGACATGTTCGCAACAATCAACTATGTTGGGCGGAGGCCGAAGCAACAGGAAGTCAGAACATGATGGAGTTCCTTGACCAGATTATGCATCGGTACAGTCTGGTTGTGGTACAAAAAACGGTGAATTCCACACCATTGGTTATATCATTGTATCACGTAGTGCTTGTCCTTGAGGCAAGCTGTAACCAGAGGCGCTTTCAGACGGAACACATGAGGTTTTTTCGAGGGCGCCATCTTGATGTCCAGGAACTGTATGTCCGGGGCGTCAGTGAGACCAGGAAATTCGCAGACACTGCTCCGTTAACGACTCGTGAAGCTCTCGACCTGACTCGCTGAGACCGGACTGACACCGAGCCTCACTCAGGCATCGACTCCAAGCCTCACTCAGCCCTTGAGCGCTGCGGAACTAGACCCATATAGGAGTCACCCATGCGTACATAAATATGGCTTCTTTTGTCGATTCAGACCACTTTGAACCTCAATTGGAACATCACTTCGTGTCAGGAAGGCCGCCATGGGACTTCACGAGGCCACCTTTGAGCCAGTTTTGCGGGTCGGTGTTGTGACATTGGTACTGTTGAGGCCTTGCGCTTGCGCGGCTTCCACAAATCTCCAAACGACCCGGCAGCTTGGTACGCCTACATGACAAAGATCAGGCTTCTCATTCTCACGCTTGTCACTTTTTTGCTGGCACGATGTGGTGCATGATCTGAGTAGGGGGCGTAAAGCTTGCAGGCTTGAGAAGTGGGCAGCACCTGCTGTGTGGACGTTATTGTTGCTTGATGTTTTTGAGACGCCTCAGTGGTCAGAGCCCAATTTTGGAGAGTCATAAAACAATCTTGGGGTCCGGCAGATGAGTCGTTTCAACACGAGCCGGGACGTTCAAGAGAATGATATCGTCTCCTCCTACAGAAGTCGAAGTGCGAACCACCCAAGGTGCAAAAACCGACCATTTGTCGATCTTGGAGGCGTCGGGGTCAATTTTTTTTGGAAAGTGTGACATCTCTTGTGTTTGTTTTGCTTTCATTGGGTGAAGCACGACACGGCAAGTCAAAATCATGAAGCTTTCATTGACAAGCAATGACTTGAAACTTGATATATAGATTCAATAAAGTTGCATTTCGATTTCACGTGGCTCGAACTGCCCCCCTCACATCCATTTGTTTGATTCTCGTCCTCTCCAGCTGTCAGCCAGGGAAGAGTCATCTGCATCCCTTTGCTCCTTTCTCAGCCCCTGCGCGGATTTCCTTTCTTTAGAGTTTAGATGTGACTCAAGAATAAGGCTCCTTTGACCCACTAGTGTCACAGAGTCTATCTCTTCTTTGCACCGCTGGGTTTATATCCCAGGTTTGAGCCAGAACGGTTTGAGAGGGGCTAGCCAAGGTGAAGTTGGTAGTGATTTCTTAGCCAATGAGGTTTCCAATTTTTTCAATGCTGTCAGTGCCGAAGAATGCCAACCAGTCAAATAAACTGACCACTTCTTCCCAACATGCTTCCGCTGCTCTTGCTTTGGGTCAGTTGCCAAATTTCTAGACAACATCAACAGACATAGGCAATCTGACCACATGTTCTGGCGGGCCTTTTAGGGATGGCTATAATGAAAGCCACTGCTAGCCAGCAGCATAGGCAAAAGTTACCCAGGCAACTTGAGGAAGAGTGTTTCTTGGGCTTAGCGATGCTAGTAATGCAATGCAAACACATAGCACATCCAGCATTTTTGAAGGATCAACCATGGACATCGCTGAAAAAGCTGAATGGTGCAACCCACTAACCAAACATTTGTCACACGATTGATCGAGGTGACAATTGAGTCACATGTTCTGTTTTGCATCACCTGCACGTTGAAGGTGTTGGCAGTGATTTTGACTCTTTGGACGGGTCTTTCTAGACAGTCTGAAGGCAAATGTGTTGATACCTGATAGAGATGCATTTATTGCATATTTGAAGAGGTGGCGCGCCACTCTTCCAGAAAGAAGATCATTTGCAAATGGAAGAACAAAAAAGGTTTTAGCGGCAGTTGATTTTGAGAACATTGCAAGAGATAGCTGCCACTAAAGGGGGTGCGACTTGAAGTATCTACGTTTGGGTTTTGCAATTTTTTTGGGATACGTCCATGATCAGGATGATCAAGTGCAGAGATAGAGCACCAGGTGCTCAGATCTGCTGGATGTTCAGGCTGACGGATGTTTCCTATATAATCAGTACACGCTGTGTGTTGATTTGCTCACCAATGGAATCTCAGCCAATGCATCATCTCTGTTTGCCAACTGAATCTGAAAAACTTCCTGATACAAGTCTAATAGAGGTTGGTCTGCCTTGCGAAGTCGAGCTACCTGTCTCGAATCGTGAAGTTCAGGTTCGAGAGCAACGACCACAGCCGATACGGATACTAACCTAGGGCTTTCCTTACAAATCCGCATCCCTTAAATCATCACCGTACATAAAAAACTCGGCAGGTTGCATGTTGTTTCAACCTCGGCGAGCAAAATGCAGACTCACTTCTGCGCGTTCTCCAAAAACTTCCACCACAGGTCTCGAGGAACCAAACAAAGCTTTCAGAACACTTGCCAAAACCGCTACCAACATCAACCAAACTGTAAGTAAGGAGACATGCAAAGACTGCAAGTTTCTGACAGTTGCCAAACAAACGTTTTACAGTTCCTTGCTTGGCTAGCCGCTGTGTCTCATTGCCGGCACGAATGCGACTTCGAATTTCATGATCCGGCAGGGGCTCAGCTCGCTGCGCCTCTCTCAGATCTAGTTCTCGTGCTGCTTCTGCCAACCAGGCTGTAGCCCGCAGTCACGGTCTCGCTTCCTCCACCACGGAGTGTTTGGTTGAGCCAATCGCGGAGTTTTTGGGCGACAGTATCTTCTTGCTTGGGGTCGATGCCTTTTACTGGACCGACTTCAACTCCTCTTGGTACTTGGCTGTGTCCCTTTCCGGCAAACACCTTTATTTTCTCAAGAGTCTGGTGGCACGATGTGACATATGGCACCCCCAAGACTCAGACCGATCCATTCCGGTTCACCCTCTTGGAGAGGGATCTTGCAATTGGGACAAGTCGGCTTTTGTCCATCTTCGCCTGGCTCCTCCATCATGAAGCCTGTCTTGTTGGCCTCCTCCTGAAAGCCCAACAGTTCCACCACCAGCTGATCGGGGCTATGTCCAGAATGGCACCCAAGTCGCACAGAACACGTGAATTGATCAACAAGGGCACATCCTCACTCACAGCAAAATGATTCGTTTCGCACGCTTCGTGAACATAGGAAGCACTGCAGCATACCGTGAATACAACTTCGGTCCACCGCCGCAACGAAAAGGCTGTTTGTCTGGCAAAATGACATATGGCATCTCAAGGTCTCCAAGGAGCTTGAGGCGATTCTGCATCCAGCGATGCCCGCATACAGTCTTGGCACAACAAGCGTCAGACAAAGCAAGTCCAGCAGTTTCCGTCATCAAGCCCTTTGTGGAGTCCGTTTGAAAAACACTGTGAACCACATATGCTTCATCGGACGCATCACGGTCCTCTCCAGCAACAAAGACACTCTTCCCCTTCTTCACCTCTTTGCGAACTGTCTTCGGGGTGTAGTAGGGGCAACTAGCATCACCGTGACCATAGACCACCTTGCCGTGAGAACGACAAGCACGATCTTCTTGGGAGTCTTGCTGGATGAAACCACGGTTCTTGGCTTCTTCTGCTCGCCGACGAGCGGCATGGGTGAGAAGAACCTGAGCCTCAAACTCTAGGAAGGGGTCATCCTACCTCAAACATGCCACCGATCTTTAGGACTTCACCACCATCCATCCGTCTCTTGAGCCACTGCTTGAACACGGTGTTCGGCATGTTTACCTGCCTTTCTCACATGCCCATCCCATCACCCACTTCTGTGCTCACTTTTGCCATGTGCATTGGAGTGCAGGCACCTGTGGATGGCGCACAATGCCTCTCTCAGCTTCTCATACTGATAGACACCACCACTGGCTGCAACGACTTGTCGCTTCAGGTCTTCTCCAATCCCAGCCTTAAAAAAGAAGTAAGCCTTGAAAGTCCCTTCAAGAACCGTGCCACACTCTTTGATCCGTTGAATCTGGGATCGAGTTGTTGACCTTTGTACGCTTGAAGGTCTGGAACAACTCCAAGGTGCTAGGATCCAAGGTCTCCCATGCTTCCCACATTGCTCCACTAAGTCTCTCCAGCAATTTGCCAGCTCGAAAAGTGACATCGATGGAAGTAGTGGACTCAAACAATCTGACTCTCCTTTGGTACTGCCTCATGACATTGCCATCATGCGTGGGAATGTGATCCTTGCCTGTGTAGGGTTTTTTGGCCCCCGAAGTCCTGGACTGACTATCTTCGACACTGACCGCTGCTCCTACGTGGCCCAAGACCCAAAATGCGCCGGTCTCAATCCGTCCTCTGGAAATACACTCCCGGATACCTTTGTCCAGAGTGCACAAACCCACATCTG